TTTCCTATAGAAACATAATAAGGAATTATTTTCTTCATTCCTCTGGATTTTTTTTTAAGGATGCAGACAATATTAAACCACACAAGAAATCTAGCTTTTATTTTTAGAAAAATACTCTCAAACTCTAAGCTGAACTTAATATCTAAAAAAGTCACACGGTACAATTGAACAGTTTAAATATTTCTAATATGGATTGATTTCATACAATGGAGCCCTAATTTTGACGTAAGTATTTATGAATACATGAACCCAAATGTCAGTATAATGCATTTCCCTTGTCTTTATTTAGGGATGCATTATTTAGGTTAGCATACAGTGTAAGCAGAAAAAAAGTGCTATATGTGAATATAGTTTTTGTGTATTTGCTATTTTGAGTGTTTGATGAAAAGGCTGTAACACAGCATTTTCTATTGAATGGATGTTTACCTTTGTACTTTTTAACCTGAAAGCTTGCAATGGACTTATTTTCACTGGGGACTATTATAACCCAAATATTAGAGGAGTCGCAGGCATGATTTGATGGCTATGTTTGAGTTCTCTTATGTTTGTTTCTTACTAAGTTTTAACACAGTATTTATGAGAACTCGCTGCCTGGACCTTTGTAATTGAAGAGGTTAGAGATGAAATATGAGTATTGCCATAAAATTAGATGATTTTGTTATTCCTTTCAAGAACAAAAATCAGGCTCACCAAATAGCAATAAACTGGATGACCTATGCCTTTTTCTGTTTCTTGGTTGTGTTCAAGTGGCAAAAATTCATCATTTCACCTAAGATATATTAAAAAATTAAGTAATCAACTATTTTCACCATGAAAATACAAGGTCTAAATTGCTGCAGTATTTATACTAGGAATGACAGAAACAAAAGGTGACTGCCAGCATTAAAAGAGAAAGGGATATTTTGTTTTTTTAAAATTTTAGTTAACGCTTGTCACTCAAATTTCAGAGCAATAATCCAGGGAAACCAATTTTAATTCCCCCTTTCATGTGTAAGATTCTTAATACAATTCTATATTTTTATACTGTTTAATTAAAATGTGAAACAATTAAATCTTGTTTAAACTTGAGTGATACAGTACAATTTTGGCAAAAGAAAACAATACTTCATTTTAATTGTTTGAATGAATGAATATAATGCATGTTGTTGAATTGTAGCTGTAGCATATCTAAATAGGTGCACGTTCTTTTGTTTATGTCTTTTAGCATCTCCGTCAATTAAACTCTTGGTGGATGATCCTATAGTTGTAAATCCTGGAGAGGCCATAACATTAGTATGTGTTACAACAGGAGGAGAGCCTGCACCTTCTCTCACCTGGGTCAGGTCCTTTGGGACTCTGCCTGAAAAGACTGTTTTGAATGGAGGAACTTTGACCATACCTGCCATCACCTCAGATGATGCTGGTATTTACAGCTGCATCGCCAATAATAATGTGGGAAACCCTGCAAAAAAGTCCACTAACATCATTGTGAGAGGTAAGTTTGCCTAGAAAATGTTATGACATAGATTTCTGGGTTAGATAGGCTATCAAAAATCAAATAATGTTTGATATAAAACTATTTCCTCAAATATTGCATATATATATCAAATACAGAAAAAGTTGTTGATAAATAATAATGGTGTCTAAGTGAAACCTAAAAATCCTAAATCTGAATTACAGTGCTTTATATTTGCATTGAATATTTTCATAACATATCCTTAGTGATGCCATTGAATACTTTTTATATGTTTTCAGTAAAAAAAAAATTGTTAAATGAAAAATGTGGCATAGA